CTGCAATTTCCCACATTTGCGGAGGTGCAGGCAAATATAGCAGCAGCGGCTAATTCTGGTAAACTGCCATGGTTTTATTGCCCACCTCTCTCTTATATAGACCTTTTAATATGTAGATCTGAAAGCATTTTACAGATACTTTAAATGTCATTATTGCTATATTACAACAGTGAAAATGAAGGGACAGAGATGAAATGACTTGCCCAAGGCCTTCCAACAGGTTAGAAGCAGAGCTTGGAATGGAACGTGCATCTCCTAACTCCCAGGTCAGCATCCTAGCCCCTAGATCACTCTGCTTCTTGCATATAAAACAGCCACATTGAAAAACCAGAAAGAGAAGATGCTAGCACAGTGGGTTTTAGAAAACCATTGGAGGGTGAAATTCATGAGCATGATCATATTTTCTGTCCATATGGCAGCCTTGGATGCAGAAGTGGATTGGGCAGTCTCTGTGGAGCAAGATGTGGATTCTATGTCCATCTCTGTTACTGATTTACTATGCATGTCTCACTACCCATCTGTAAAATATGGCAATACTATCTGTCTATGGTTGTGGTCAGGCTTAATTAATGATGACACTATAAATACAAAGTGGTCAGTACATGTACAGAGACGTGGATTTCTCTGTCATCCACCTGCCAAAGCTTTCTCCTCCTCCTTCAGATGGCTGAAAACTCTTAATTTGGATCCTTTTTGTCCTCTTGTGGGACACATTAGGTGCTTTCAACTGAGCAGCAATGGAAAATGTGACTTGCTGGAGACCTCACTTTAGAACAAGCTGCTGCTCCATTTTAATCTGTAAGATTTGTGTTCTTACCCTGGAAGATGATTTGACTTATTCTGTTTGGAGCAGTTTTGTGACACCCTCCTTCCAGCAGGAGGGCAGGAAGTGAGCTAAGAAAGGGCTGCTCACCCTATGCTCACAACTCAGCACAGCTGGGAGGTACACTAGTTCCGTTTCAATTTCTGTAAGCCTGTGGTCTGGACTGCAACATGCCTTTGTTAGAAGATCTCTTAACTGTGCCAGGGATTTAGTCATTTGAACCAAAATAGGGGTAAAAATAACTCTCAATGAAGAAGAAGAGGTGAACGAGAAAAACAAACGTGGCAAGATCAGCTTTCATTCTTTTGGATGTGTATTAATGGAGTTGAGCTAGTATGAGATAGGAAATAGTATCAGGTCTTCTGTGTCTGTTAAAGCATATGGAGCCCCACTGTGCCTTTTGGGGATCGCCTCATTGGGGTTCTGCATGTTTTGCCTCCTTTTGATTTCCTTTGTTGTAACTAGTACCCCAAAGCAGGGTGCAGTCCCTGCATTCACCAAACAGGGACTGCAAGTACGGCAATGGTGACTGAAAGGAAGATGAGGGAGGATCCTTGCTCCCTTCTCCTATTTACGCACCATGTGTGGGAGCTGACCCCAGCCTGGCCAAAGGTTTGCAGCCTCTGAGCTGGCATACAGTTGTGCAGCCGGCAAGCCTGCAGCTCTGTTGTAACCACATGACTATTTTTAAGGTCTGATTTTCCAGAAGTCAGGCACATGGCCAACAGACTTCCTACATTAGTTACAATGACTGTAATTGCACACACATACACACACTTCCTTTGCAGAAGCAAATGGCTGCTCCTACATCTAACTGCCTGTTTGTACTGGCAAACACTCAATTTACCATGCTAACTGGGCCTAAACAATAAACTACACAGGGGCGTGTACACTTTTGTGCCTGACTTTTTGAAAAACAAAGGCCAGCCCAGTGGCTGGTATATCTTTGTGTCAACTCCTTTGAAATAAAAAGCTCCACCAGATTTACACTACCTGAGGCTCTGGTGTCCCCTCCATAGTGAGGAGGGTACATGGGAGGGTAATTGGACCGCAAGCAAGAGAGCACTGTAAAATAAAGCACTGGAATTATGTTCTAGTATGTTTGCTTTTTGGCAGGGTTGTCAGTGAAGACCACCTCAGAAGCAAGGTATGTAAAGCCCAACACACCTGCTTGCTTAAGTAGAATTGAGAATTTGAGGAGTGACGCTTTCACTGAACACTTGTAGCCAAATTATGCTTCATTGAATGAACGAGTCACACACTCTCTCGCCGTATGGGTTGGGGCTTGCTGTTTCCAGCATCAGAACATTCATCTGTAAAACTGGTTCTCTTGTTATTGTCAAAACTAGAGATTTCCAGGAGGGTAGTTGACAGCTTAGACAAAGGGCCTTGTTCAGTAATAAAATTATTATGCAGGTGTTCTACAGTTTTCCCTGCAGCATTTGTACATGTCAAATGAACTATGCTCAGGCCTGATGCACCCCCACCCCTCTGAATTATTGCCATAGAAGTCTAGGAGAGGAGCACTTTGTGCTAGTATTTAGAATGACAATATGGGAACAAAAACTGGAATGGGTGGAGGGGAAATATTTTTTGCTTCCTTAAAATGACTTATCACTGTATCAATTATGGTAAAAGCTGGTTCTGTTTTTTGCAGTGACACAATGGACTTGACTTCCATCTGGAATACAGTGTTTGGATGAGCACCATAGCATAGCTAGAGAAATCTAGTACTGCCAGACACACACGGGGACATGTCAAAACAAATCCTAGTGGTTGCACAGATGGCAATAGCAGATTAGTCATAGACTGAAACTATTTCTCCCCTTTTTTTTCTTCTTCCTCCTCAAGAGTTATTCTTTACTCTTGTTTTGTTTCAAATGACCAAATCCCAGAATTGGCACAAATCCTCTTACATAAATAGGATGACCAGGTAGCAAATGTGAAAAACTGAAAAAACTTTTTCCCAGGAGGTGGATAGGATGGTTCGTACAGCTGCCTATAGAAGACAAAAGTCCTAATATGAGATGGTCCTGACAGTATTGGGATGTTTGTTTACCCTTAGGGGAGCTGACAGCCTTTGCCAGCAAGGTGAGGCTGTCAGCTTCCACTGGGTTTGCTTTGCTTTAATTGCTACACTAATGAAATATTTAGCTTTTGCAAAACTTACACACTAACCGTGAAAGGGGCTTGGCCAGAGGTAACAATAAATCTGCAAGTGGAAAATCAGAAACTGTGGATAGAATCATACAACAATGCTCACAACAACAGGGAAACTAGTAACCTCACCACTGTAATAACAGCCGATTGCCCAGTTACTCTGGTGCCAGGTGCCTGATGCCTTATAAGGCCTCGAAAATACCTGGAGAGAATCATGGAATTGCATGGGTTCCTCATTAATAATGAAAGACATTCTTAAGCCATGCTGCGATCCTCTCAGGGGACAGTATTTGCAGTTAATGCAACCAGCGTCCAAATCACCTTTAAAGGAGGACAGCTGCATACTGACAGCCAAGGAAAATACAAGGCGCTGGGCTACCCCTCATTTAAACACAACTACTTTGCATACTACAACACTGGCATTGAAAAAATGACACAATCCTCTATATTAGAACTTGAGTGGGATCTTGTAGGTAAGAAACAAAATACTGAAATCAAGTCAAACATTAATTACACTGGCATAGTGCCCATGGAAGTCAGGCCTGCCGACTCCGGATGGGGCCTTCCACTTAAAGCACAGACAGAGGTCACCCTGGAAGCATGGCAAATCTTTGTGAAGCAATGGCCCATGTAGAAGTGCCCTCAGCTGAGAACGATTAACCAAGTTCTTAAGAACAGGGTAAGAATGGGGCAAGCTCTAGCTATCAGCATACAAGGAATCGTAACAGATCTTTTAGATGGCAAAGTCCACTCAGCCCTTATGGAAGTGGTGAGACCCTCATCTCCCCAATACCTCTCCATGGGAATGTGGAAACAGAGAATCCATGAGAATACAAAGGCCTATATAGAAGGGCCCTTCTAGCACCTGGTGCACAATGTGGGCGAGCACCCATGGACATTCCTCACACTCAGCTAGTGAGAGTGGTGATCTCCCTGCCAGTGTTGAGGCTAGGTCACGTTATGAGAATAAAAGGTGTGGCATACTCTGAAGTCGCTGGAAAGGCACTGTACCCCAGTGACTGTTGCACCCACTCTGACAAAGAGATTCTATGTCCATGTCCATATAATGCTTTAATGAATCTGTCTAGGTTCGAAGAGGCTGTTACCAAGAAACTAACACATGCAGAGTTGGTCCAAATAAATGGTACCTAATGGTATGTGACTGCCCAGAACCACTCCATTAAGTTAAATGGAAAGGGCTTTGGGTACCGGCGCCTCGGAAGCTGAGACAGTCTCCCACTTCATCTGCAGCCGAAATGGGGCTCCTGGCTAGCCAAAGGGATGTAAGAAATGCCACTTTTCCTATCATGTTGTTCTTTTAGTTAAGGGGCACAGCTGATAGCTGTCAGAAAATAAACTGCTTGTGTTTGACAGATGCTTGTGTAGTGTTTTTTGTACTTTGAGAACCCAGTGTCAGACCTCAGACTTACTCTTGCCAGCAACAGCGTCATGCTCGTAGAAGATGCAGGGCCTTGGGTGGAAGAAACTTGGCTGGGGGCAGTCAGCACTCAGTACTGCCTGGAGCATGGCAGTGGCCCCTGACAGCCCTCAGAGCCACAAGGAGCATGTGGCACTCCTGCAGTGATTTAAAGGGCCCAGTGCTCCAGCCACAGCCTCTGCCACAATAGCAGTGGCCAGGAGCAAATTGCCGGGCCCCAAGACAAATTGTCCTCCTCCCTCCAGTTGGAGGGCCTAGTTATCCTAAACACAAGGCATGTTGTATTTAAGACTACAGGTTTCTAGAAGCTTGGGAAACAACCATTGTTGAGAACTGAACTTAAATGGAGATCAGGAGACAGTAGGTTAGGCCACATCTTCACTTGTGCGCCAGAGATCAATCTTCTGGGATTAGATTTAGTGGGTCTAGTTAAGACATGCTAAATCAAATGCTGAGGGTGGCACCAGTACTCCTAGCAGTCACCTCTGTGAAGATGATGTCAAGCTTGGCTGAAGGGAAGCTGACTCTAGCTACGAATTTTCAGGTGTACCCTAAAAGTAAAGCCCAGTTCTGCTAGATGAATTCTGGGATCACTATATTTACTTTAGTAATAGAAATGTAACCATGTTAGTCTAGTCTAGCTGAAATAAAATACAGGACTATGCAGCACTTTAAAGACTAACAAGTTGGTTTATTAGGTGATGAGCTTTCGTGGGCCAGACCCACTTCCTCAGATCAAATTGCTTGTGATGTACAAACATGATCAATGTGATGGAATCCATCCCATGCCACCAATGGTCCTGTGGCAGACAAGAAGGGAAAAGTTTAAAGATATGAAACATACTATTTCCTCCATCAGTGAGATCCCAGGGACTGAATGATAAAATGAGTCAGGAACTTCCCTTCACTACTTTCACCATACTCCCATTCTGCAGAGCAGCCACTGTCATGAGATGCTCCCTCTCGCTGCTGGTTCTCTCAACCCTTGTCAGCCCAGAATATGGGAGGCTGGGCCTCTGAATTCAATCTAGGACTTCTGTATAGCATTAAGGCACAGAGTAGAACACTTCTACTAGGTCATCAGATGGGCTGTCAGATTCCATCATTCAAATGTTTCATAAGGATTTCATGGCTGTTGCTGCTACACACTGCCCTACAGATGTGGCAGTTTCCTGAAAAAGACTGCTGTTTCAGGAAATGTTATTTCAGCACAGTGGAAGGGAAGGTGACCTAATAGGAATACAGTGGCCACTCAAAAACTACCTGTTTGGAATATCAGATTCTTCTATGTCTCTTTAGCTGGCTTTTGTTGTCACTGCAAGGTGAAGTCTATGGTTATGCTTCATGGTGGTACCAGTGAAAGCAAGGGGCTGAGAGCCTGGAAATGAAATGTATGTTTAAGTCCAGGATTGCTAGGGTAATCTTTTCTGATGTGCTCCCTATTGAGTATGAAGGGCTAATGAAGAGGAACAATAGGGTCTCTGTATACTTTAGAAGACGGTGGAAAGTGGAGTGTTTTAAATTGATTTGGCACCAAGCAACTTTTGGGGCTCTACCTTAACTGAAGTGGAACCACATTTCTGGCACAGACAATAGACAAGGCATGGAGATTGTTTAACTAGAAACAGGGGGAAAACTAAAATAAGCACTGAGAAGGATTCAGGTGGAACAAAGGAACACGCTAGACATAAGTAGCAATACTAATTCAATACTAAAGAATAGGACAGAAATTGCAGCTGCCCTGGAAGAGGGACAGATAGTACGTTATAGGGGTAGATCAATCCACTACAGTTCTTTGAACATGCCTACAGAATAAAGGGTAAACGACTAGCATAAATAATTTACTTGGAATTTGACAAAATTCCTCTAAAGAATCTAATATGTCCCTAAGCAGTTAGAGAGTGAGAGGTAAAGTATTGTCATTAATAAAAAAAATTGTCTAAGATACAAGGGGAAAAGTAGAAATAAATGAATGGTAGGCTTTCAACTCAGCAAAATGGTAACAATGGATACAAAAATGGAGATGCTCTACTTTCCATTTTTGTGCTTCTAACATTGTGGACACAATCATTGTCCTTGATGTCATTTGGATACCTAAATATATACCTGATTTGTAGGTGCAATTATGGCACAATTAGGTAGACAGCTGGAGTGCAGTTTTTCAAAATGCTCAGGACTGGCTTAACTGTTCTCTAACCATTGTTGACCATGGATTTGAATGGTAGCAGAGTTAAGCCAACCTTAAAGGGTTATAAATAATATCAGTTGTGCTCACAAATACCATAAGTACAAAGTTTCACTCTCTAAATTATTGGGACAAAAGCAGAGGGTCAACAAGACCAAACTGGAAAAAAATCAGAAAAATTGGACTCTGTGGCTACGTCTACACTGGCCCCAAATTCCGGAAAAGTGATGCAAAGCAGGTAAGTCAGAATAGGGAAATCCGCGGGGGATTTAAATATCCCCCGCGGATTTAAATAAACATGTCCGCCCCTTTTTTTCCGGCTTGGGGAAAAGCCGGAAAAAAGCGGTGGACATGTTTATTTAAATCCGCGGGGGATTTAAATATCCCCCGCGGATTTAAATAAACATGTCCGCCCCTTTTTTTCCGGCTTGGGGAAAAGCCGGAAAAAAGCGGTGGACATGTTTATTTAAATCCGCGGGGGATTTAAATATCCCCCGCGGATTTCCCTATTCTGACTTACCTGCTTTGCATCACTTTTCCGGAATTTGGGGCCAGTGTAGACGTAGCCTGTATGTTTTCATAAAAATAATTCAGATATTTGATTTTGTAGTTATATGCATATGTATATGTACCCACCCTTGTTATTAATTTTATATATTGAAATAGAATGATCTGAAACTGATCAGTTGTATCATTGTCAAGATGCTATATAATTTCCTAAATGCCATTTATTGCATACTTTGAAAATTTAAGCAAATGATTTACGGTTTCAAAATAATTTTCCATACTGAGTTATAACATAAACCTGCCAATGGGCACAAAACATAGCTCCCAAGTTTGATACAAAATTAATAGGGTCATAAAATTCAGATATGGTTTGTTATTGCAGTTGTACTGTCTGTGTAAAGGACAATTAATATATCAAATAGCTTTACACAGAATAGCCTCTGCAAACTAGATTTGTTTAAAATAAGCCTGATGCTGCAAAGATGTAGTGGCAGGGTTATTTTTAACATTAGAGGCAAATCATAGCTTCTAGTGTTTGACTTCCCAAATCCCCTTTAAGTTCCTCATTGAAACTCAGATTTGTCTGTTTACCAAACCTTTTCCCTCTGTTATAGCAGTCTTCTGGAAGTCCATAAAATAACTTTTATTTTAATATATTCTCTGTTTGGGATATGACTTTCTAATCTTTGCAGGCACCTTTGTTAATTCCCATCCAAACCATTGAGACACTTATCTTGAAAGTGAATGAAAATTCTTCCTGCCTTCATCTATACATACATATTAGAAATAAATTATTTTAATACCAATTCAGCAAAACCCTTAAACATGTGCTTGACTTTAAGCATATGCTCAGATCCATTCCTATTCACAAAACACTTAATTATATGCTTAAAATCCCTTGCAAGTTAGGCATATGCTCAAATACTTTGCTGAAGTGGCTTCTTCGTTACTTGTTCTGTTTAGTAACTGTATGGCTACTGTTGTGGTTACCGGCAGTCCCTGGGTTACATACAAGATAGGGACTGTAGGTTTGTTCTTAAGTTGAATCTGTATGTAAGTCGGAACTGGCGTCCAGATTCAGCCGCTGCTGAAACTGACCAGCGGCTGACTACAGGAAGCCCGAGGCAGAGT